GTAATCTTGCAAATGATAGCGTAGTCCTTTGTATGGAGCTAAAAATCCTTTTGTGTTTTAGAAACCAGCATCAACAACAAATTATTTATCTACCAACAAACATTTTATAAAGAATTACTAAAAGCATATGTGACGTAAATGAGACAGTTTTGTGTAAATAAATAATATTTATTCTAAGGATGTAATTTAAGTTACCATGTGGCGGAAATGGAAATTGTGACGTTGGTTCAACAAGTGCATTCTCAAGTACTTTACTATCATGTACAGTTACTTCCCAACCAGCAGCAACAAATGTAAATCACATATCAAAATCACAAGCACATAAGACATTTTGTGATGTTCTTTCTTTGCGATTACGATATGCTTGTTGCACCGCTTTAGGAACCTCCCCTTCTATATATGTTCCATCAATCACACCAAACGGTAGAAGTAATAAATTAAGTGTTGGAGTAAATGAACATAACAAATTTATTACTCAACAATCGGTTGATGTGAGTTAAAGTGACTATATGTTGGTGAGAATAATAAATTTTAAAAATAATGATGTGATTATAAATTTTATTTACATATATGAAATAAATGGTTAGTTGATATAAATGTGGGGTTGTTTTAACAAAATATAAACTCTTGGATCAATTTTTGTATTAAAACATCTCAAATCATGATATGGAATTCCCACATGATTCCATATCATGATTTTTGGAGAATATGAAATCACATCTCATGATATGGAATCATGAGATAAAATCGCATGTCCAAACGCTGATTCCATCCCACGATACCATATCGTGATATGGTATCGCATGGCCAAGCGCCTACTAATAAATGAAGTTACTTTCCATGTAACCTAACTTAGATTTCATTTTAGTTTGACTTAAAAGTTGCTCAAATATACTTTTAAGTTATTTTTAATTTTTGAGAGTGTTTAACAAAGTAAAAAATAATTTAAAATAACTTAAAAAATTAAAAGTTAAAAGCAAGCACTCTCCTATTTTTTTTTAAAAGTTAAGCCAAAAGGGCTCTTATAACACTATAGGAATTTTAAATAAGAGATAATAATTTAAAGAGAATATCACATAATTTTAAGTATATAAAAATATTTTTCTTATTTTAATTTATTTATTTTAATTTTTTCTCTTTCAAAAAAATTTTCTTTTTTACAATTCTTACATTTTATATTTAATAGTAATTTAATATTAAGATGCTTATTTTGTCATTAATGAAAAAATTCTAGTAATAAATTATTTATAATATATTTAGATTTCAAATTTTAAAAATCTTTCTGACTTTTTAGTTCTATGCCAAATTAATACACCACATAAATTTAAATAGAGACAGTATAATTTAGAGAGATATTAAATATTTTCCTAAAGAAAATTGGTGGGACACCTAACATGATTCGCTCTGGCCATGACAGTGACATTAGCATATTAGCGGCAAAGTTAAATTGCCACATGTCCTCAAAATTTCAAACGTTATGGCATGATTTAATATTTAATATTTAATTTTACTATAAACTTTTAATTAAAACGTTACATATTGTTAATTCCCATTGTATTAAGCCACACGCGACAAACACATAAAGTTGCATCGAGCCAGTCAATTCAACACGTCAAAAGACTTTGGCCTTAAGGTAAGGAGCATGCAAAATAGTAAATGACTAAATTGCCCATACATTCAATTATCAAAAAAATAAGGTTATACTTATAAAATGGAGGATTAAATTTATATGAATTAAATTAGTCTCTTATTTATTTATAAAATAAATGAAGAATAGTAATGATATTTTAAGTACAAGGTAACATTATACTCATTCTGTCCCGATATATATAATGAATGAAACTCAATTTAACTAATTTTGAAATTAAATTAGATAATCAGCTTAATATTTTAAAATTAATTTTTACATGTTCAAAATTTATATGAAATTATTCTAATATCAATATGACTAAGTAATAAATTTTAAAATATTAATCAAAACTTATAATTTGAATCTCTAGAAATAAAATATATACATGTCTGGAGATGGAAATGTTGTCTCTTAAATTTTAATAAAGGGATAAGGGTCTGAAAAATATCCCAACTTTGGTCGGATTTGCTGTTGCGATACTAAACTTTCATGAGGACCTATTACCTCCCTAGACTATTTAATACCGTATTTTTTAACCCCTGAACTATTTAATAGTGTATTTTAAAGGTACATATGTGCCCACGTGGACACATTACTATTTATAATTTTACATTATTTTTTATGTCCACGTGGGCAAATATATATGTTTAAAATACGGTATTAAATAGTCTAGGGAGGTAATAGGTCCTTATGAAAGTTTAGTATCGCAACAACAAATCCAACCAAAGTTAAAGTATTTTTCAAACTCTTATCTCTTTAATAAAATAACATTGATGATTGCACGAGAGTTTATAATACTTCATCAATACTAGGTATTGTCATATGTGTAAAATAAAATAAAATAAAATAAAATAAACAAATGAATTAACTAAAGTATGTCCAAATATAACAAGTATAGATACTTTATCTTCAAATTAATTAATGTCTGATTATATTAATTATTAAATTTTCTGTTTCTATTATATATTTCTCCTGCTTTAATTCGTTTTTCCTATTTAAATTTGGTACAAAATTTAAAAAGTAAAGATTTTTTTTGTATCATAAGCTCTTAAATTAAAGATACCCATACATATTGTAGTCTTAAATATGTCACGACAATTTTTTAATTTTTTTTTATAAAAAAGTTATATTTCTTAAAATAGACTAAAATAAAAAGTAAAACACAAAAATCTAAGTATTATTTTTCACTTTATGTCTATATCTAGTCTAAAAAGGATTAATATCAGTATATGTAAGGTAACAGAAAAAGAAAAAAAAAAGTATTAAAAAAATCTTTGAACTTGATGTAAATTGTTATTGTTAGTTTCATCCTTAAACTATTGATAACTTTAAAAACAATTTTCTACTTAACTAACTAACTTTAGATACACCCCGATTTGATACATGACATAACAAGTGGTCCCGAATTATCGCAGGAGCATAAAACTCTTGATAAAAAACTTGACGAGAATTTAAGGATTTGTTTCACTCATATTGCAAGATCGAATATGTATTTAAATTCAGTCAATCAACTAAAAAAGTATTTTTAAGACTATCAATAGTTTACAATTGAAATTAATAATTTTACCCTTAGTTCCGGGGTCTTTTCAATACTTGTCTAAAAAAAAAAAAAAAAAAGTGTAAAAAGGGTATTATTGTCCTATTTTTTATTTTTCTAAAAAGGAAAACAAATGATTAGGGAAGGAAAGGAAAGAAAATAAAATTAATTAATGATTTATATTAGCCGGTAGAAGTGGGGTACTAGACAATAGAAACGGCTTCTTTGTAATCTTCTTTACAACTGCCATCTCTCATAAAAATATATTTCATCCTTTCTGGCCTATATTTTTGTCTCTAAATTTCATTCTTCCACAAATTCCTCTCTATTTTTATTTTTTGTGACTAATATTCTGCTTCAACCATTTTTTTCAGGGTCACAAAAAAATCGAAAAGTTTTATTTATTTTGTTGTTTATCTATAAATCTGTCCATTTTTTTCTGTGTCTGAATTTGTGGGTTACATTACAAGTGGATTGATCTGTATTACAGGGATTGATAGAGCCATAGAAATATAGTTAAAGAAGGAGAAAGATGTGGGGTATCACTAGATTTTTGGAGAAAGCTTATATTTTTGAAGAAGGGGGATCTGGGTATTGTTCAAAGAAGAAGGATGATATTTGTAATGAGGTGATTTTTTCTCTCTCTTATGTTTTTCTGTGTTTGTAGATATTAAAATTTCAAAATTTTAGGTTAATTCTCAAAAGGGGGAAATTTTTGTTATTGAAATTTCATAGTTTTAGGTTTATATTTGATTTGATTTGATTTGATTCAAGGTTCTGTATTCCTTCCTGTATGCTTTTCTGTTTTGAATTAGTAAAGAAGAAGGAAATTGTGAATTTTGATTCTAGATTGTTCCTTTTCATAGTCCTTTCCTTGTGTTTTAAATGAAAGTGCCCTTCCAACAAGTATTTTTCTACTTTTGCTTGAAGCTTAATTTAATATATCTGGCATTACTCATCTTGGGGTGGTAACAATGAGCACAACACAATTTGGGTAGGTACTTAAGAACTTTGTTGCTCAGACTCTTCAAAAAATATATATTTGGGTGGGTGCTGGGTCTTCCAAAAGTACTACAGTTTTGAAGCATGTGACATGGGTGTTGCAACATTTTTGAAGAGTCCGTGCATCATATTCGTGAGTCTGTCACATATTACTTTACCATGGTTAAGTCAACTATTTTAATTAATTTGGGTATGGTCAATTTTGGGACTTATATTGCTTCTACTTAATGTGTGTTGTTCAAACTCAGCAAGTTTATTTTTGCTATTTAATAGGTTTTTTGCTTATGAATTAGAGCTATGTGATACAGGATGTGTTTTTTTTTTTTTTGGTATCCTTGGTGAGTGTTATCTCAGTTTTGCTTTCTCTAACTGAGGTTTTGTTGACTGCAGGGAGCTGGTCGAGCATTGAGCATGTCGAGACTAAAGTGCGCACTTCGTGGCTTGGACCTGAAAACATATATCTTCCTTTTTTTGTTTGTTCCAACATGTGTGTTTGGTATATATTTGCATGGACAGAAAATCACTTATTTTCTACGACCTTTATGGGAAAAGCCGCCAAAGCCTTTCCATGAGATGCCTCACTATTATCATGAGAATGTGTCGATGGAGAGTCTCTGTAAACTTCATGGATGGGGAATTCGGGAGTATCCTAGACGTGTCTTTGATGCAGTGTTGTTCAGTAATGAGGTGGAAATGCTGACCATACGGTGGAAAGAGCTGTACCCTTATGTAACAGAGTTTGTTTTACTTGAATCCAATTCAACATTCACCGGATTGCCAAAGCCTTCGTACTTTGCTAATCACAGAGATCAGTTTGAGTTTGTTGAATCAAGATTGACATATGGGCAAATCCCTGGGAGATTTAGGAAAGGAGAGAACCCTTTTGTTGAGGAAGCTTATCAGAGACTTGCATTGGATTATCTCCTCAAACAAGCTGGTATTCAGGATGATGATTTGCTGATAATGTCGGATGTTGATGAGATACCTAGTAGACATACCATCAATCTCCTGAGATGGTGTGATGACACGCCTCCAGTTCTTCATCTCCGATTGAAGAACTATCTCTACTCTTTTGAGTTCCTTGTGGATAGCAATAGCTGGAGAGCTTCTGTTCATCGGTACCAATCTGGTAAGACAAGGTATGCACATTATCGACAGTCAGACGTCATCTTAGCAGACGCAGGATGGCATTGTAGCTTTTGTTTCCACCACATAAGTGAGTTCATATTCAAGATGAAAGCCTACAGCCATTTTGACAGGGTAAGATTTTCTCATTTTCTGAATCCAAAGAGAGTGCAAAAGGTAATTTGTGATGGAGCTGACTTATTTGATATGCTACCGGAGGAGTACACATTCAGGGAAATCATAGGCAAAATGGGACCTATTCCCCACTCCTACTCTGCCGTTCACCTTCCAGCTTATCTTTTGGAAAAAGCAGACCAATATAAGTTTCTCTTGCCCGGTAATTGCATGAGAGAAAGTGGCTGATCTTGGAGTGTTAAGTTGTGTTTTCTTTTTGTAAATGTCAAGGGTGCAGTTTCGCGTTGCTCCTTGTGAAGCAAATAGAGGATCCTTAATATATTCAACATGATTAACATCTCCATAAACTATTTGGAATGTTTCAAGATGATTTTGGAATTGACGGGTTGTGTTTTGTATATACTTGTTAGAGAAGATTTTCTTGATCAGGCATGGCGAGTTTTCTGTTGGAACTGTGCATAACTCTCTGGATTCTGTGTAGTATACCATTCCTGATTATGCTCCGGGATAACATTTTTGGGGGGCTTTTCCTCATGATGAGAATTTTTTGAATAGGGACTAATTTATTCACATATATATATATTCTTGTGTTGCATTTTCTCTATGACCTTGTAGTATTCATATATATATATATATATATTTCATCACAATTCTTGATAATTATTGTGACTCATCAGATTTCACAATCTCCACTCAACTTTGATAAGTCTCTTCTTTTTTTTCCCCTTGCTGATATTGGATTCATTTGAATGTATAAGTAGAAGGAGATTATGTGCAATTTCATCTGAATCCATGTATCAACATATCCTTCCATTTTTGGTTGGGTGAAAAGATGATGTCGTCCGTTGGCCCCTTAGTTTTGTTGGATTGCCACTCTGCATTCAATTTTTTATTTCTTGTCCGCCGCATGTGGTGTACTTACTACATGACAATTTTGCGGTGCCTAACTCCATCTATATTATGCTTTTCTGTACGTTCATTGTTATTTCAGATTGTGTATTTGCATTGAAATAATTGTCTTTCTTTTCTAGTCTCTCTTTTACACATGATCACATCAAATCATGAGATTGTATTTTGGTTATTTCCACACTTTTATATCAATATGAAGGCTAATGTATGACTTCTTTTCACTATTTATATTTTCTTCACATGAGTTGGGAATCGGAGAGTTAGCATAGGCCCCATCATGACGACCCATCAATTTTTGAGTCATGACAACTCAATTAATTATGCATAACCTGTGCATATTACTAATAATAATGAGGCATTATTGTAATATATCATATACTTATAAGGCGCTTTCAATATGATTTTTCTATTGCACTTGAGTCGGATTTTAGACATGACACTATTAACTTTGTTGAGACTTGAGAGTGTTTATTTAATAATTGAGAGAGTATTCAAAATATTTAAATTGTTTTGTATAAAACATGATTATAGATTAAATAAACTTAGTCTTATACCCACATGTAAACAACTACAAAGTCTTATACCCACATGAAATTTTGTCCAAAGTGTTCAACTCACATGAAGTGATATGAACAATATAAAATCATATAGTAAAAAAAAAAAAACTTCGATATTTAAATAAATACTGAACTAAATTTGATTCAATTCTTCACTTCACTATTTAGTTACATAAATAATCAAAAGGAAAACATGAAGAAAAATAACAACAAGAAGATCACTAAGCAATTTTAAGTTCTTTGATGTTCACATGATTTCTTCTTAAAAGATATGTTAATATCTATCGAACAATTCTTTTTTTTCGTAAAATCTAAATCACACTTCCAAAACTAAATTATGTACATTTTACTTATTTTCTTACAGCAATAGGAATTCTAACATAATGTTTGCCATCACTCCATGCCAAACTTCCAAAGTTAAATTTACTCTTTCTTTGATGAGTAGATATGATTTTGACCTCAAATGATATCTTCTTTGTCTTGGAATTAAACTTCAATACATGTGGACTCACTTTAATTGCACTATTTCTTGGAGGTTTAACCACTAATTTGTATATCGAGTTGACATTTCCAACATTAGTAACAGTTCTCCGAATAGTAACTGAATTCTCAAGATTTGAAATCGATATTGAAGGGAGATTTAAATCCAACCTAGAAGGTACTTTACTTGGACATATAATTCCTCTTTTAGTTGTAGAATTTTTCGTATCGAAAAAATATGTAGTCGCATTGCGAACCTTTTCATTACTATAACCCAAACTGCAAAGATAATTCAAATAATCATTGTTATCCATATCATAGATTAGTCCAGGATCCATAGCACCATTTGGATTACAAATGCCACCTCCAAAATCAAATGGATCAGCAATTTTATCCCCTGCTCCTTCTGAAAATATTTCAGATCCATATGTATCTTCATTCCATGCTACACAATCAAAAAAAGATTATTACTCCTTCCTTCTGTTTCAATTTGTATGAGTTAGTTTGACTTGACACACAGTTTAAGAAAAAAAGCAAGACTTTTGAAACTTGTAATAGGTTAACATATATTGTTAGTATAAAAATAACGCATACAAATTAAAATAATTTTTTCAACAAAATTTGGAAGGGTGTATACTGTATAGTATGAGTGTAAGTTATATACGTACAAGTATTTTAGTATCATAGGTAAAATTTATGAATTAGAACTATATAACAAGTTAAATTACACATATATCAGTAATTTTTTTTTAAAAGATATATTATCAGTATATATAACTTAAATTCATAATATATTACCTGTAGTTACAAGTGCGGATTTAATAGCGGCAGGAGACCAATTAGGATGTGCAACTTTATGGAGTCCAATAATTCCTGAAATATGAGGAGCTGCCATTGATGTTCCAGACATCAGCTGAAATCCATTATCACCACCTTTATTAGGAGGAATTGCTGCAAGTATATTTACACCAGGAGCTGCAATATCGGGCTACAATAATATTTGTATTAGATACATTTTAAAAAACTAAAATAATAATTAAACAGACTTTTAAATATATATCTATTTTTATTTTTTGTTGTATTTGTATATTTCGTGTCGAAAATATTGAATCTGATTTAACCTATGTTATGTTATATCTGCCACTGATTAATAAAAATTTCATTTAAGACAATATATAATTATATATTTAATTACCTTCAAAATATCTGGGGTAAGTGAGCTTGGACCTCTTGATGAGAACTTAGGCACCTTTAAATATACTTTCTGGCCCTCAAGAACTTCAGATCGACTGATTTTAATCTTAGGATCTAAATTACTGTTGCAAAAAATAAATCAATGTGCACTAATATAATAACAACGTAACAAAAATAAAAATAAAAATAAAAATTAAAGGTATATTCATAGGGTAGAAGTGAGTTTTCGAATTTTTTTTCTTCAAGAAAATGATTCATTTTTTGAGGAATAATATATTCAGTTGAATTTTTTTAATTACCGTAACATATTAGATTATTACTCCTAATACTTATTTAAGAGTTGAATAAAATAGTGATATGATTTTAGAGATATTGTAAAAGAAAATAATTTTTTTCCGAAAGTGGAAAAACTCATCCCCCCACCCCCTAAAATACACTCTGAATTTTCTTAAAACATTAAAAAATAATTTATTTTTGTCATATTAAGTACAGTCTGAATCTGTTGTGATAGAATAAACATAAGAGATTATAGGAAAGTATTAAAAACATTCTTTTAACTTGACGCAAATTATTAGTTTCAACTCTGAACTATTGACAATCTTAAAAACATCCTTTTACTTGACTAACTAAACTTAAATACACCCTTGATCTGCCACATTGTATATCAAGTGGTCTCGAACTCTTGTAGGACCATGAGACTCTTAATAAAAAATCGAGAAAAGTGTTAAAAAATCTCTAACCTTGGCGAGAATTTAGGGATGCATTTCACCCATGTGGCAAGATTATGGGTGTATTTAAAGTTCAATTAGTCAAGTAGCTATATTTCTAAGGCTGCCAATAATTTAAGAATAAAACTATTAACTCACATAAAATTTAGAGGTGTTTTAAATACTTCTGAAAATAATAAAGTGAAACACAAGAGAAATATTTGTTTACCTCGATTTACATTGTTGAAAATAATCAAATATTTGATTTCCTTGCTCCAAATCAACATAAACAAATGGTATAGGGACACCAATAATTTGATTGTAGTCATTGATTCCAATAAGAGGGTGAGTAGCAACAATAAAAGCCAATACCCCACTAGTATTTAAAGTCGTCAAAGATGTGTATATATCATCTTCCGTTTGAAGGAAAAGCATTAAAACTTTTCCTTTCACTTCTTCAACATTAATAGTTTTAATATCTTCAGGACTGCAAATAAAATTAAAATACAAGTATATATTAACAAAGTTAAATATTCAATTAAAAGTTAAGTGCTTAAATCGTATTAACTTTTATTATGTATTGATTTATACAATATACAATATTTCATGACTTACCTTGTTATATTTTTAAAAGTGACCAAAGAAGCAAAGGCTTGCTCCTTCCCTTGAAAAATCCCCTTACCCTACAAATTACAATAGTCAAAAACTTTCAAAAGGCATCAACAAGAAAGCTAAAATCGATTATACGTAGCCTCACTATATATAATGCGGTCTAGTTCACTATATATCCTCACTATTTGATACAACTTTTTTCCATTTGATTTCAACCCTATCTCATTACACTTTTCGTCGAAAAATAATTACGTTAGCACAATGTTTTTGTGTTTTATTTTGAAAATGACACGCCATTATTCTTGGACACCCTTGATAAAATTTCTGACTTGATCTTACTTTTAACAATGATAAAAGAAGTAAAAGGCTTACTAGTATTGTGTTGTTGTTGGCAAGTGTTAATGGAGTAACAATTTCTCTATCTTCATTACTAGCAGCAACAAGTATGATCCATGGAGAAGTAGGAGTGACTGTATAAGAGTCAGGTCCAGCATTTCCTCCAGCAACAACAAAAGGTATACCAAGAGATGCTGCATGAAAAGATCCTATCCCCATAACACTATAACTTCCACTAGTATCAACTTCAGCAAAATTAATTAGATCACCACCAAAAGATGCTGATAATACATCAACACCATCTTTTATTGCATCATCAATACCAGCTAGAATATCAACACCACCACAATATGAATCACCTTTATCATCCACCCAACCTATCTGTTCAAAATATAGTATTAAATAACATGTTAGCATATAATATGAAAATTTGTAGGGCATCTAAAGAGAGACCGTTGCTTGCCATTTTTTTAAAAAATAGGTTGAAAAAAGCACGGGTTGAAAATAGCCCTAATGAGTTAAAACAAGTTGAAAAATAGCCTTTGCAGGTTAAAAGCAGACCTCACGGGTTAAAATGAGTTAGAAATGGTTCTTTATAAAAACTCACAGATCATGCAATATCAATAAAGCTCTTTTTTTTATGACAAGGGAAACCCGCAGTCGCTATCCTTTGGGTGCACACAGGGTAAAACCCCCGCTCCTATGCAATAGCTCGCAAACCACATAGGAGAGGTAACTCGCACTAGGCAAGCTTGGTGCAACGAGCTTGACCCAGAAGGCAAACCCCTTGCTTTTGTTGGCAAGGGGTTTCGAACTTGAGACCTCCAACATAAAGTCCCAAGCTCAAACCACTGGGCCACCCCGAAGGGTAAGATCAATGAAGCTCTTGATACTACTGTTGGTTTTTTAAAAAATGAGAGTAAAAAATATTACTTAAATGTATCTCAATATTTTAATTAAGTATATAAGAGCTTTAAATAACCAATTTGAGCACAAAATTTCTCAACAACTAAAACAAACTAGCTAGTAGAAATTCTAGATTTATTATATTAAAAATTTATTACAATAACTAAAGTAAAATTTAACACGTTCTATTTTTAACAATTTAAACTTGTAAATGAGTTGACACTTAAAAAATATACATACCTTATACATAGCTATACGTGCATTTGGTGCTCCTCCTCGTACTGTCCCCATATTAAGACCATAATATTCCAAATTATTAACATAAGAACCAGCAGCTGTATAAGCAACATGTGTACCATGTCCAATATCATCTAATGGTGATAAATTATATATTTTTTCGACCATTGTTTGATTTAGTCCTTTTTCTTCCATCAATCCTTTTATGTACCAACGAGCACCAATGATTTTTCTATTACAATGTTTTGTGGCATTGAAATTTCCTTCAGATTTGCAACTACCTTTCCATCGACTTGGAATTGGACCTAGTCCTTTATCGTTAAACGCTTCCGAGTCTCCCCATATACCTATAATCATCTCAGTATTAATATGTGTATTCAAATTCAGACATCATACGAGAAGTACTAGTTTATACTCCCTCCGTCCACAATTGTTTGTCAAGGTAAGGTCATGCACACCCTCAAGGAAAATTTAATAGAAGGTGTAATTTGACTAATATAACCCTATTATACCAAGAATACCAAAAGACTACATAACTTTTCAATTGAACTACACTACCATTAAGGGTAGAATTGGAAAAAGGTGATTAATTGTTTCTTGATTGTTTAAATTTGACAATTAATCTTGGACATCTATTTTTAGTATACTTGCCAAATAATTGTGGACGGAGGGAGTATATAATAAGGAGAAAATTAAACCTGAATCCAAAATGCCAATGATTGATCCATCACCCTGATTTGTTTTGTTGAGAAGATTATTGGGATCATTTTTAGAAAGACCTAAAAAATCCCAACTCCTTGATGTACGTGTTTTATAAACAGGATTTTGTATAACTCGAACCACATCAGATAATTCTGTAACGCAATAAAAAACATATATCAATTATGAGATTATTAATTTTTTGTGAAAGTTATTTGTCCTTATAAATTTTATTTTATTGTGCTTGTATATATAAGGTACAAAGACATGATAATGAAATATTTTTTAACCAAAATTAAAAAATACCTCCTATTTGTTTGGCTTGATGATCAGTGAGCTTAGCAGCAAATCCAGAAAAGCCATGTCTATAGCTATACACCATTTGTTTTTTGGCTTCTTTCTTACTACATGAGAAGAATACATGAGTATACATTTTATGCAAGATTATAAACATTTTTAGTTTCACAATCATATCACTTATAAGGTAGTTAAAAGTAGATATTTCTATGTGTTGCGACCCTCAACATCTTGTGATTTTTGCTTCTTTTCCCCCTAATTGATCCTTTTAGTAGCTTTGGAATGATATTCATGACTTGAAGAGATAACTGACACAACATTTGACGTAATCAGATGTGTTTTGGAAAAAAATGTGTGTTTTGAAACTTTAAAACTTAAAGAGGGTATAGATCAAAGTCAACATTTGGAGTTAAAAGAGGAAACTTTTGGGTTTTGATTACAACTCCGCTAATTCCAAAGGGTGGTTTGTGGCATTACCTTAGTTGAGTTTATTGTGAGATCTTCACAGATCATCATAGCCTACAATACATCTTTGATCTCAATTTGAGGAAACATAGGTGGTTGGAATTATTTAAGGCCTGTGATATGATGCTTCTTTACCATTCAAGCAACACCAATGTAATTCCATATGCCTAGAGTAGGAAGGCAATGAGTATGGGTAGACACACCTTATTATTGGTTGAGGATCATCTTTTAGCTTTTGACATTCAATCCTTAGCTAACCGATTTATGGGACTTGATTTTTGAGTCAAGAGAGTTATTTCTTGTATGGAGTGTTGTTTATACTTTTTGAGAAGATTAACGCCCAGTAGTTTGAGTATGAGAAGTTGTAGTTAATTCGAGATAAAGTGTTGAAGGGTGAAGCTAGAGAGGCAATGTTGAATCTTGAAGGTGTTTTGAGGATCAAGAATCATGTTTGTGTTCCTAGAGCGGGTGACTTGAGTAGATTGATATGAAGGTGGATCACTGTACCAAGTATTCAAGACAGAGAAGATGTATCGTGACCTAAAGCAACACTATTAGTGGTGTAGGATGGAGAGAGATATTGTGAAGTATATGTCTAAGTGCTTGAATTGTCAACAAGTATGAGCACCAAATACAAGGTGTGGTAATTTAAGGGATGTCGATAACCAAGAGGAAGAAGGAGAGAGTAGATATGGATTTTGTGGTAGGCTTACCACATAATTTGAGGAAACTTTACTACTTTAGTCATTGTGGATAGACTGACTAATTAGTTTGTTCATTTCTTGCCCGTTCATATTATGTACAATTCAGAGAGATTAGCTGAGATTTACATGCAGGAGATAGTTTTTTCTTTTGCATGGGGTGTCTATTTTCATCGTATGAGATAGAGGTATTTTGTTCACATCTCACTTTTAGAGTTCGATGCAGAAGGAATTGGGTACATGAGTTGAGCTCAGTACAATATATCATTCACAGACTAATGGGCAGTCAAAAAGGACTATTCAGGTCCTTGAGGATATTTTACAGGCATGTGTTATTGATCTTGGGACAAATTCTTTTCTTTAGCCAGCTTATATAATAAGGATGAACGCATACTATAACACTGGATGATGTCACGATCCTCAAGGCCATTTTTTGATTTACTCTTCTTTTCCCCCATTTGACCCTCTCCATAGCTTTGGAATGATGCAAAGATGAGTGGAACGTTCAAGGTGGTCATTTATGTTTTGGGAAAATTTGTGACTTTTGAAAGTTTAAAACTTAAGAGGGTTGACTAAAGTCAATATATGGGGCTAAAGAGGATGTTTGAGGGTTTGATGACTCTACTAAATCCAGAGGGTGGTTTGTGATTTACTTAGAAGATTTGAAGGATCCTGAGACACTCTAGAGTGATTTGGACCCTTAGTTTAAAATTTTGAATTTCTTAAGTTTGAAGTTGACCACGATTAATATTCAATCAAGACTATCTATGATTGGTAAATTCAATCATTTCAACATATGTTTTGTGATGGATTTTCACTGTTGGTTTATGTTCGGGGAACCCAAATGAGTTTCAGGTGTTGAAATCAAATTTCGAACTTAGCTTAATTTGCTATCAAAAGGACCCTTGGTTGGAAATCTTGAATTTGGTAAGTTTGGAATTGACCACAATCAATATTCGGTCAAGATGACCTTTGATTGGTAATTCAATAATTTCAATAGGTCTGAAATGTGTTTTATCATCGATTTTTACTATTGATTTATGTTTTAAGAATTTAGATGGGTTTCAGGTCTTGAAACCAAATTTTGAACTTGGCTTAATTTGCTGTCAAATGGTGCGAGCTTGATTGAACATTTAGAGCGAACTTGCACAAAAGATAGTTTTTTTTTTAATTCCATCGATACGACTAATGCGAGGGTGAGTTCCTAATACCTGATTGGTTATTTCCCCAACATTTTATCTTGGACTTTAGGATTAAATTAGTGTTTGGGAATTCGAAATTTGATGGTTTTCAACCACAAGATTCTATAATTGATTTTTGAAGGATTGAGGTTTGATTTGATATCTATTTTAGATTGAAATTTTATATTTAAGTTCCTTATGTTACATGTGTAAAATGATTTGAAAGAAAATTTTAGTCTTGTTGTCGAATTTCGAAGATTAGCTTTTGCGTGAAATTAACACAAAATTTTTGGATAAGATTATGGGTATCAATAGACTCATATTCACGTATAAAGCATGTTTTTGATAGATTATGAGCGTTCTAAGGTCATTCAAAGAGGGGAGGTCATTATGTGACTGTTTGTGGCTTGGGGTTTGACTTTGATTTAGATTATGGGTGTGTTTGGTATGGAGGAAAATGTTTTCCTGGAAAACAAGTAAATTTTGGACTTATTTTCTCATGTTTGGTTGGAGAGTAGAAAATATTTTTCGGAAAATATTTTTGTGTGTTTGATTTATGAATGAAAAATATTTTTGAAAAAATATCTTTTATTTTTACTAGAGAGTAGAAAATAATTTTTGAATTGAAATTGAATATTTTTAAAACAAATAAACTTAAATTTTTTTGGGGG